GTGTGTGTGTGTGTGTGTGTGTGTGTGTGTGTGTGTGTGTGTGTGTGTGTGTGTGTGTGTGTGTGTGTGAGCGACTCAGATGAAACTAAAAGCAGTTGTTGGATGTTTGGATGTTTCTCTGCTGGAACCAGAAGAACAAGTTCAACACCTGAATGAGCTGAGTTGTGTTTGTTTGGTTCAGAACTCGTAGCTGACTCAAAGAGGACGGTGTTCTTCGGTCTCTGGAGGTCCACGCTGAGCCTCTTCACATTACTGCAGACCATCACTTCTTAAGACTGATTCCTTCCTTCCAGATATTTGTCTCTTTCGTTTGTGTCGAGTCAGCTGAATATGAAAGCTTGAATTTCACATGATCAGATTAAATTGTGCAGGTTTGTTGTTTGTGTTTCTGTGGATTTATCTCCTTCACTCACAGCTTCTCTCTGCGGCCGTGAATCCATCTCTAAGATGTCGGAGGTTCCCTGAACTCACCAGCGAGAGCTCACAGCCTCACAGCTCACCCTAACCCTTCCATCAGAGGAGAGTGAATGTTCACCGTGTACACAAACAGACTCGGATCATATGTTGTGGTGGTGTGGTGGGCAGTAACATGTTGCAGCGTGCAGAGCAGGAGCTTCTCTAGAGGTCACGTCTCCTCACAGTCAAAGCTGCACAGCAACAAGTTGAAGCAACACGGGAGGTCAGCTCTGCCAGCTTTAGGTGCATGCAGCTCATCCTCTTATTTACAGCCATGTTATTCCCCGTTGCAGACTTGTTATTGCTGTTGCTGGCAGCGTTGCTCCTCTCCTGCGTGTTTCACCGTTTAACCTCTGACCTCTGCGGCCGAGCGCACAAACACTAAAAACGTCCTCAGAACGGACGAGAGACGAACCCTGGGAGGAGGACAAGGAGAACAAGGAGAACAGCAGATTCTCTCCCCAGTGGAGCAGAGAGAGACAAACCTTCACCGTGCATGTTGCTCACATGCAGACGACACTAAACTTCAACAGCGTGAAATCTGTTGTTACAACTGATCTGACAAATAACTGATGTGAAATAAACGAGCCTGGACCTGACTCCCTGTATCTGCTGCAGGTCGTCATGCAGCTGAAGGGTCGACTCAACTTTTATTGCTTATTTTCTCCTCTCGACATGTTGAACATATAGAATGTGTGTTGTGGTTGAACGTGCAGTGGAAACATGAAGCGCAGCGCTAGTGAGAGAGAACACGGGGTTTTGGGTGAAGGTCAAACTTCGTTGTACTTTTAACTCAGTGAGCTCACGAGGTTCGTGATCAACAGCTCCATCGAACACATCTCTAAAGATCCTGCAGTTCATAAAGACTCAGCGCTGAGCTTCTGGAGAGCAAATGAATATGAACTCAAGAATATCAATGAAGTCATTTGAACATACAAGTTGCTGAATGAGAGGAGCACTGAATGCATCATCCATCCTGCTGGACTCCAGACACAACATCACTGCTTCAGATACCAATATGGTACAAAAGAAGAACATTCATCAGTGACGGCTCACGAAGCATCGCCGTCTCTTTCTGGTGTTGCTGATGTGTTCAACGACCTCCGTCTCCTGAACGTCGGACACGATAACTGAAACCAACGTGGAGGGTTTTTTGGAGAAAGAACTCTTTTCAATTTCAATATTCTCTGGACCGGATTCAGAGAGACGTTTGTGACTCCATGTCCAGCTCTCTCAGCGGTCCCAGAGTCTCTCCATTTCGGAGTCTTTGCAGTAGTTCGCTTCTCTGCTTCTCTGAATCTTTGCAAGTGGAATCTGTGGCCCCGTGCCAAGGTGCAACAACCGGGGACGTTAGATCAAAGATCATAAGAAAACTGCATTAATCAAGGATTTCTTTTTTGGGCCACCAGCCTTTGGGGGACTTCTTCAGAACCACGAACACGTCTCGCCCTCCTTTTGGAATGTTTCTCAGACGCGTCTCTGCAAGTCTGTGACGAAAGGAATGAGTCAGAGACAGCGTTTAGTCCGCCGATCCTCACGAGTATCTCTGCGTCTCTGCTCTGTGACTCAGAGAGGCGGCATCCTCTCAGCAGGAAGAACAACCACAACTGAAGGGCGGTAATGAGCAGGGACGGGAAGCAAAAAGCTCAAAGTCTCCTTCGTGTCCTTTCGTCCCATCAATGCTCTCATTTTGTCTTTTCTCACAAGCCCTGCGGACGTTCAGGAGTGCTCTGCTTTGTGAGGACCAGCAGCAGCAGCCATGTTGGACCGGCACCGCCTCCTCCTACAGTCTCAGTAGTTGTATTTTCCCACCCTGGCTACCGGCGACGCCGCCGCGTTGGGAAGAAACAGCGGTTTTGGCGGGACTTGTGGTTTGAGGGACACCGTTCTCCGGACGATCGCCGCCCGCTGCGCGTGAGGCCCTTCGCTGTAGCTGTGCTGCCGCATCAGGCAAGCGCTGCCGACCGACGGCCGCTGGCTCTCACCGTCGGCGTTCATGTTGGCGTTGGGGGGGCCGTTGCTGCTGCTGTTGGTGTTCATCCTGGCGAGAAAGTGTGCGTGCTGCTGCCCCCCCCGCTGGTTGAAGCTGTGGTGGCGCGGCACGGCGCCCATCTTGATGAGCGAGTGGCGCTGCGAGAGGTGGCGGCTCACCGAGACGTCGCTCTCTCCGGGCCTCTCCGGGATCACCTGCTGCTGGAGCGGAGTGGAGGAGGAGGAAGAGGAGGAAGAAGGGATGGAGGTAGAGGAGGTGGGGTTGTTGGAGGATGAGGAGGAGGAAGAAGCGGAGGACGAGGTGGAGTTGTGGACGGGAGCGTCCGGGCGTTTGGGGAGGCCGTCCCTCGGCAGCGTGGAGGTGCTGTAGTACGGAGCGGACTCCCTCTCGGGGATCTGCTGCTGGTGATGCTGACCACCGCCGTTATTGTTGTGGTGGTTGGTATGGTGATGGCTGTGGTTGTAGTGGTGGGTGCGGGTCTGGCCGTGGGGGTTATTATGATGATGATGAGGGTGATGATTGTGATGATGTCCCCCGGAGGAGGACGAGGAGGAGGTGAGGACTTTTATGCCTCCGGTCCCCGACGCGCTGACCTCATGGATGTGTTTGAGCAGCTCGTCCAGCGCCGACACGTCCACCACCGTCTGGGGGAGCGACTGCTGGGAGTGGTGGTGATGCGGGACTCCTCCTCCTGCTGCTGCTCGCTCCTCGTTCAACACCTTGCTCTCCTCAGGGAGGTGCAGCGAAGTGGAAGAGGCGCCCGCTCCGCGGGCCGCTCCATTGCTCAAACTGTTGCTGTGATGATGAGAGAACGGGAACACCTGCTGGCTCATAGAGTTCCCGACAATGGCCATGAAACCCAGACTGGATCCGGAGCAGCTGGGCCCAGATTTGGGGTTGTTGTCCTTGGCGTTGTTGCAGTTCTGGTTCTTCTCGTACTGGTGGTGCCGCAGGGCCTTCATGTTCTTGATGGGGAGCTCCGGGGTGGAGTCGGGGGTGGGCAGACCGGACAGCTCTCCATCAGCCTGAGACAGAGACTGGACAGAGGTCAGAGCCGTCAGCAAAACACTGCTGTCTGCTAGCTCGCTGCTCTCGCTGCTAACATTAGCTGTTAACATTAGCTGCTAAGTTGTCAATAATATGTTGTTAACCCTGTCTGGAGATGCAGTGAATTAAAACAGATAAGAGCTTAATGCAGCGCAACATGCTTCAGTCAGAGCTGTATTCAGATTACAGCACAGATACTGGAACAGAAGCAGCTTCTTATATCATGAACTGTTGTAGCAGAGCTTTAGAAACACTTCACACCTCTAGTGATAAGAGCATTTCATCCTGACCCAACCCAGGCTGTCCCCTCATGACGAGCCGTCCTACCTGGGAGAGGCTGAGGTCGGGGTCCCCCAGCTGCAGGCCCTGGTGTGAGGGGGTGTGGAGGTGAGGCTCCGCCCGGCCGTTGGGGATGAAGGAGCTGTACATCCTCGGGGTGGACACGTCCAGCTTGTCCTCCTGCAGGACGACGAAACACAAGAAGAAGGAATGAGATTCACACACACTGAACTGAAGCTCAGGCCATGCGTTTAATGACCCAAAGGTGCAACTTCAGAAACTCCAAAAACATCAGAAACATTAACGCTCTCTAATATTTGTAGTGAAGTAAAAGCGGGTTCACTTAAATATTTGTGAGTCTTTGAGTTCATAAATCTTTGTTTCTCTGCAGCAGGACAACATCAAAGCCTCCTCTCCACCCGTCACATATTAGTTCACGGTAACGCGTCCCGTCTCCAGAGTCCACCCACCTTCGGCTGTCCGTCCAGCAACCCGTTGAGCTTGGCCAGGGATCTCAGCGACAGGGCGTGAGGCAGCGACGCCTCGGGGTCTTTGCCGAGCCTCCTCGCCCGCTGAGCGGCGCTGCGGCCGCAGTAACACGACACCAGGAAACCCGACAAGATGGCGCCCAGGAAGAAGGCCACCAGCACGCAGGCGATCAGCAGCGTGTAGTGGACGTTAGCGCCGGAGCTCTGGTCCATCTCTGGGAGACGACGGACACCTGGAGGACAAAGACAAAGGTTCTTACACTCTGGAAGAAGGGAGGAAGAAAGGAAAGTAAACGACAGAGACGAGGATTAGACTTAATGAGAAAGAGGTGAGAACACAAGATGATGGAGGAGGTGAAGAAGGTGACATCTGAGAAGAAAGGACAGAGGGGAAGAGGGAAGTGACTGTGATTGCATTTGAGAGAGAGACAGAGGGGAGGAGGAGGAGGAGGAGAAGAAGTGATGACAGGAGAAAGGATGGAGGGATGAAGGAGAGAGAAGATGAAAGAGTTTATTGTTTGGCCGCGTTCACCTCATCAGGTCCAGAAACAACATCAAAGCCTCTCAGATACGAGTCATCAGTCTGTCCAACACACACGCGCGCACACACACACACACGCACCCACCCACCCACGCACGCACGCACGCACGCACGCACGCACGCACGCACGCACGCACACACGCACACACGCACACACGCACACACGCACACACACACACACACACACACACACACTGCTGCAGTAATTAATACTTCCATACTCGGGTGGTGCTCGTGAGGCGTTCAGGTTCCAGTACAGAATGGGTTCAAAGTGTTTGTTGAACTGAACCGGTTGAGTCAACATGAATGTTTATTAAAAACTATTAAAGACAAAAGTTTCCTTTTGTGTGAACGTCGTGTGAAGTGAAGCAGTGACAGTGATCCATTGTGTTTTATTTATATTTATATTTCTGTCTGCTGATGATTGATATATTTTAGATTATTATTGAGAACATAACATGTATCTGTAGTTTGTGTAGTGTTCATTGACGCAGCCTCTAGTGGCTGTTAGAGGAACAACAGGCTCCTCTTGTGTTTGCTGAAGGCACCTGAAGGCAGCACTGAGCCACTCAACCAGAGGAGCGCGCTGACTTTCAGGCAGCTTCTGTTTGCTTTAACCTCTGCTTCATCCTGAAGGAGCCCTGCTTCACATTCACAGCGACGCGCTCACACCTGGCAGCCTCCCAGACCTGAGTGACGGGTTGATTTACCTGCCGACACTCACGGGCGTTTTACACATCTTACACCTCAGTGTGAACGCTCTCAGGAGGAGGAGGGAAGCGTTGCATGAGAATCACTCTCAGCTTCATCTCTTCAGGTGAAGCGAGAGGTGCTGTCTGCGTGGACGTTGATGGATTATTTATTAAAAACCTGTTTTCACTGATTAACTTTTCAAAGAAGGAGAGAAGAAGAAGAGGAGGACTGAGACACTGAGGGGACAAATGATTTGTATGAATCCCCCCCCCCCGATCAAAGGGCCCAAAAATACCCAGAGAAACAAAAAGCTAATTTCATGACCTGCCCTGTTGGCCGTCCGGGGGTTTGATCCCCAGCTACCCGCCCGCTCCAGGACTCAAACTGGCAACCGCCTCCAACCTCAAAGCCAGCGCTGCCTCGAGCCTCTGAGGCTTCGCTTTGATACCAGACACCACGGAACAAACTCCTCTTTATGCAAAAATACTGTTGAAATAGAGCAAGTAGTCATTACACGTCCAGTCAGGATTAACACGCACACACACACACACACACACACACGCACACACGCACACACACACACACACCTGTGTTTAACAGACAATTTCATGTTCGTTATTTCCACTCCTTCATCTCCGTCCTTCACTCTGACAGTTATAAATAGGATGATGGAGACACACAGAGAACAATATTATGCTAATTACAGCCCGACATGGAAATGTTTCATTCTCTGCCCTTCTGTCTCTCTCTCTGTGTCTCTCTCTCTCTCTCTCTCTCTCTCTCTCTGTCTCTCTCTCTCTCTCTCTGTGTCTCTCTCTCTCTCTCTCTGTGTGTCTCTCTCTCTCTCTCTCTGTGTCTCTCTCTCTCTCTCTGTCTCTCTCTCTCTCTGTCTCTCTTTGTTTCTTTCTCTCTCTGTCTCTCTTTGTTTCTTTCTCTCTCTGTCTCTCTCTCTCTGTTTCTTTCTCTCTCTGTCTCTCTGTTTCTTTCTCTCTCTGTCTCTCTCTCTCTCTCTGTTTCTTTCTCTCTCTGTCTCTCTTTGTTTCTTTCTCTCTCTGTCTCTCTCTCT